CAGGGGGAATTCCGGCCGGATTTGAGATAAACCGGTAATGGGGACAATTGGGGATAAATTGGGATAGTTCAGTATTCAAAATGGCAGTTTATGTTTTTTAGTATTTTTAGTCAGTGTCAGTTTAGATTTTTGATTGTGTATAAACCTTTTTTAAATATCTTTTTGTTAATAACTTAATATTTTATGATAATATAAGTGTTTTTAAACTTTAAAGCGGCCAAATTGATGGTTTATCCCATTCTTAGTGAATTTTTTAAGGTGAAAACAGAAATTTAAATCCGGCCGGATTTTCTCCAAATCCAGCCGGATGCCGGAAAATTAATTAAATCCAGCTGGAATTCTGGCCAGATTTGTAATCTGGTGCATCCCTATTCATTACATTACTAACTACAAACTATGTTTCTTGTGAAATATTGCATTAAAATTTAAAAGGGCACTTGCTCTAAGCAAAACATAAAAATTTGTCAAATTTTCACTTTGATATATCATTTAACCTTTCAGACGTGAAGGTGCATGACGTTCCAGGGGAGGGGCAAAAAATCTCCGGAAGGGGAGGTGCAAAACGATCTTAGGGGAGGTGCACACCTCCCCTCAAAATCCGGCCATGCTTTCAGACAGCAAAATGGTTACTGCCATGAACCATTAGATTACAGTTTGACTAACTTACAGGCATTCGGGGTTGGGATGCATTTTAGGGTTTTATTAAGAGATTACGACAACTGGATGACAAGTTCAGCGGATGACTGAGGTCCAGAATCATGGAAAGTTTGCAAAATGTGTCTGTGATATCCAATCTAGCCCTATTTGAATGGGGAGGGGAGAGGTATTAGCATGCGAACAGGCCCTCCTGGGTTACGGGCGGTGCGAAGAAAGGAGGGCCTGCATGGAACTATAAATAGGTTTTCTTGGTAGTAGCATTCATATAGAAACAGGGGCTTCTGATTGGCTTACACTCGCTGACAAAATTACTAAAAGTACCGTAGCAAATGTAAACAATGTTCAGCATTTTGAACTTTTAATATTCATTTTAATATTATAATACTATCGAACAAAATAAAACTAGAAATGGAAACTAAAAGCAACAGCAAAAAAGTGTATCATAAATAACTTGAATCTGTTGCTTAAATCCAACACACAAAAATTATAATATTATATTACTATACTATTTAGTACTATTTAGTGTAGTACATTTTGAGGTTGTATTAAAGACGTTATATTGACATACTAGAGATGGCTTCACAGATTATTCTCATTAGTGAGCAAGCGAAGGCATACAAAAGATACCCAAATATGTACAAATTATATTATTTGTTGATCCTCGCTGGCATGTGATTTAAATAAATATATATCGTTCGAATGTCGTAAGTCGTACATTAATTAAACAATAAATGGCTACTATTGAGTATTGGCACACTCGTGATTTCGAAGTAATTAATAAATACTGCAGTACATGCTCATTTAGACCACAGTTAATAAAATTTTAGACGTATTCGGTATTCCAAATCCCAATCTATCTGACCGTATTTTAATAGCTTCAAATATTCAGAACATTGTTCTTTCAGTCACACATAGTACAAGTATTATTTACATTCAATGCCAATGGTAGTATTTTATTCGGCTTTATATTTGTATGTGTATTGATTATGACTCTTAATCTATTATCTGGAGAATTCTATATTTTTCCGAGTATTATTGTTTATCAGGGTGTTAGCCAGAAGTAAAAAAAAATCTGCGTTTACCTGAAATTGGGAAATTTATTTTAGCCTGAAGCCGGCCATTTCTTTGTGGGTCTGGGGCATGCGGTTGCCCCCTCTGATTTTTAAAATTTTTGAGTTTTTGAAATGGCATTTCCTGCATTTTGGGAGTAATTTTGAGCAAATGTAGTTATAAACATGTTTTTCACTATTTTTGGCTGACCCAAATTGGGAAATTGCGACCTCAAAGTAATTGGGAAAACGATTGAATAAAACACATGGTTCAGTGCAGGCTCACCTTTCTCCCAGTGAGCCTCTTCGCAGGCTAGGGACTGAGGTATAAGTGAAATTTTGCTGAGTCACTTCCACCAATTAATGCATATTAATAAATTAAAAATATTTTTCCTAATTTATATTTCTGTTCCCAAAACTCTTGGTGAGCGTGTGTTTTTTTTGGGGGGGGGAGTGTTTTGCTCGTACCTGAACATAAACATTTTCTGAATATTACTGTGACTGTATATGTTTGCTATCTTTTGGGTTGACGTACCATTACTCATTTAGTTTTTCCTTAATATTTCTGTAATTTCCCCAAATATATATATGTTATTTACCGGATTGGAGGTCCGTATAGAGAAATATTTCTCGAGGTCTTAAAAACGGCCCGAGGCCGAAGGCCGAGAAAACGGCCCGAGGCCGGAGGCCGAGGGACGTTTTTATTTTTTAAGACCGAGAGAAATATTTCTCTATACGGACCGACCATACCGGTAAATAATATTTTTATTTTTTTTACTTCCTCCTCTGGATTTCCCCAATCACTCCTCCCGCATGCGAATGAAGCTGCCAAATAAAACGTCGTTTCTGTCAATGCTATCAGGAAGAGAAATATCTTTTGTGAGATAGTAAAATTCGTTTTCACTGTGTTTTTCATCGTCTGCAGACATTTTAATGTTTTAAAAAGTGGCCTTTAAACTCGTCTTTAAATTTTGAAAAATAAAAATATTGGCTCTACGGCTTTAAATCTCGCGCGGTCCGTACGGGCTCGTACGGACCGCTCACGTAGCCAATCAGATTGCAGAAAAGCGTAAAATATGACTTCGGACCGCAAGAAAAAAAGTAAATAACTATAAGTATTAGTTTTTAATCAGTTTCACTCCAATATTTTAGTTTTTTCCTTCTGAACCAATTCATGTTTTGCAGACTGGGAAAACAATATGCCGACTGGGTTACAATAATTTGCCGACTACCTGATGACTGGGGTGGGGTGTTCCTCATCCCCACACTCTCTAGTGCCGCCCCTGAGAATGCAGCTGAAAATGCCCTGGAATTTATTGCACACTCGCTACAAACTTTGCAATCTGGCATGAGGTAGTCAAACCCAAACCATTGTGTTGTTCAAAATGAGACCCTGTCACAAAAATTTCTGGGTGACATGTGCATGAGATTGTGTTGTAATGGTGGCAAACCCTGTGAAACCCACAACTTTCAGCAGAACATTGTCTGTGTCTGTAGCGAGAATCGGAGCCCCAATTGTACCCAATCTATACCAATTAGCCTAATTCTCACGCCGCCATTTTTGGGTGGCAATTCAGCCGAAGTCTGCGAGATAAATCTTCGATATAATTTTTTTGACAAATGATGGTAGATTTGCTTTGTAAATGGTTAGTTTATTTTGAAAAATTGCATTTCACATTGTTTTAATTGTCTGCACAGGTTAACGAGAATTAGATGCCACCCAAAAATTGCGGATATTCGTCATCGTGAGAAAGGCTAATTAATTAAACCTTGAGGAAGTGAAATCTTTAATAATTTTTAATAAATTACTGTATATATATATGTAAATATGTATAAAATCTTTGGTCAGATTGTATCTCCTATTGTATCCACTTTTGATGTACATGATGTACAGGGCTATTTTGCTCTATGGTATTATTAAAGTACTGTTTATCTGTTTACACAAAAATCTCTTGGTGGGCAACATTACTGTAGGTGGGCATCTTTTTACTGTAAAAAGACAAGGTGTATGGTAAAATGCATTTGGTTAATGAGTCAACTGAAGGTGATTGTGCAGTTGCAGGGCTCAAAAGGCCAGCTCTAAATAGCTAGGCTACACTGTAGGTGTATTACACCCATTTTTAGAATAATTTATACGCGATCGACCGGAAAATAATCTTAGTTCAAATGTCAGTTTTCGAGTCAGGTGAACTGGTAAACATAGCGTAAACAAGACATTTTAAAGTACTGGTATTTTAAGTAATTCCACAATGAGCTAGCTAGATATACAAACTAAAAGAAACAACAATTAAACCATCACAACAAAGATCTGTAATGTGAATGAATTTTAAAGTTTGAAAAAGAACAATTTAGCCTCGAATTTCCGTGGAACTGATCAAACGTCAATCCGTGGAACTGATCAAACGCACGGAAAGAATCCAGAAGGCTGAAGCGCGCGAGCAAGTTTATTTTGGACCTACCATTCATCTGCTGCGATGTCAACTATAGTAAGAGACTCGAACTGTTAGACCTCATTCCGCTCTGCTATTGGCACGAATTCCTCGATCTGGTGTTTTACTTTAAATGTGTAAATGGGATAATAAACATCAATGGCAACATTCTACCATCAATTCAGATCCGGCAGAGAGCAACGCGATCAGCTGACCCTGACTGTTTGGAGTTCACCACACTGAAGTGTAGGACTGCAACATTCCAGAGATCGTTTATATCCAGGTGTGCGAGAGTATGGAATGTTCTGCCAAAAGAGTTGACAACAACGAACATAAGCTTAGGTCGTTTTAAAAGCGATCTCTATATGAATATTACAAATCGGCTCTGAACATTTACGACGCAGAAAATCCTAGAGCATGTTTGTCTTGTAACAAGTCCCGTAATTTGTCTTGTTCAAATTCGTGTTGTATATTCTTGTGTTTGTATTTGTGCAGACATGATTGTGTGAAATTGGCAAAGCATAATAAATAAATAAATAAATAAAATTTAACTGTAATATCAAACCCGATTGCACCAAGATATGACGGTATAAATATTGTGATTTTATTGTGCTTAAATTTTGCAATAATTATCACTAAATTATCCTATTAATTAAGGCCTACAAAGCGTATACATGGATAACGAACTACAAAACTCAAAGTTGTAAGCAATTTGAACTTTCTGACTGTGTGACTTAAAACTGACTTGTCAACTCTAGGTATTTTCGGTGTAATTTTGAAAATGGGGTAAGCTGATGCCATGTGGCAGAATGGTTCAATGGATTAATGTACAAGTACTGTTGTTGTTTTAGGTTGGGTTGATGGAATGTCCGCAGCTGGTGGTGGTGATATGCCTGAAGCAGTGGCTGATGGTCTACATGATGCTCTTAATCTCACATACAGACCGCAAGCTACAAAGATATGTGTCTGGATTGGTAAGTTTATATGCTCAACTCTTAATACTACTTAATATTTAGCATGGTTAATGTCAACATCAGTACATGAGTCATGACTTTATCAAGATTTTTGGGCATCTCAATAGAACTAACAGTGGAAGTGTTTATTGAAAACAGAAATTTCAAGTGGAAGATTAATATATACAATTTTAGACTAACCAGGAGCAGCTGACCAACTGTGAAAATGCAACTATTCGCCCTCTGGCAGGAATCAAACCCTGCAATTTCTGGTTGAATCTAAAATTGTATACATCAAAATTTTCAGTCGAAATTTCCATCTACAAAATCCCTTCAGCTGTTAATACATGACTTTGCCTGACTAGTAGAATTGTACAGATTAAGTTAAGGGTACACTACTTGTTATCTGGTTTGATATCAATTTGATGTTCAAAACTCCTTTGGGGAGCAAGATCATATTAGACACTTAGATCATTATACGAAGTTGGATGCATATAAAGGCCTAAAAAAATACCTGCATGTGGTTCCGGTTCCCGACGACCCTATTTTTTTCTGCCGACCCCATTAGCAATTGACCGTGCGACCCTATTTTCTCCGGGTGGTTGCGGGCTGCTCATACAGCGTGCCAAAATGTCTGTTGTCACACTGATTATTGAACCAAATTGCCTAACTTGGTCCATAGGAAATACGCATCTCTAGTTAATATTGATGTCGGGACTCTACTGAAAATCGCCCAGCAAAAAACCGCCAAAAGGCAAAACCATGAAAAAAAAAATTATAATATGAAACCGGAACCACACTGTCAGGTATTTTATTTTAGGCCTAAGGTGCCCCTTCATAACACCCTTCCGATGTTTCACAAGTCACAAATAACCTTTTCATGGGTTCACCTGAATCAAACGTTACTTTCATGTGACGTAAAAAATGTAGAAGCCTTAAAATCATGAATCACGATTAAAATTAATAATGATCGATCATGTTTCATGCAAAAATGACATAATTACAGTAGTTTAGTTACAAAACATGTGGACACTCCAGGGGTGGTTAACTCATAGTGCCCAACATTTTCTATCAATAATAAGTAAGTTTAAAAACCAATACCAGTCGACAATTTCAAAAAGTATGAAATAATAAAAATGCAGTCCAAATATTAGCATCTTGAAACTCAAGAATAAGAATCGCTCTTTGTTTAAAAGATTGTGAAGTGGGACAGCTATCTTTGCAAAGTCCTTCCCAAATCCCCTTCAAAATATGCACTCTCAGGAACCTTCCAATTCCTGATAATCTCCAGTTTCTCAGGTAGCGTTCTACCATTAATCTCGATACGATAAACTGACCCAGAAATCTTACAGAGCATTTACAGTAGCAAATAGCTAGCATTTCTCATATAACAAGGTCTGCCTCAACATTTAATATGCTCGGCATATTGCCAACAAAATCTCGATATTTACCCATCACCTAAACATGGCAGTACTCCATATACTGTATATATACCGTACATGAACTTGTGGTTAGAGCTCGACAACTGTAGGATTGTTCGGTATACCGATATACCGATAATATCGGTATTAAATCGATATCGGTATATCGATACCGGATATTCAACCATACCGATATACCGAAATTTCGGAATACCGGAATTTTTCGGTATACCATGTTAAATTTACCAACTATATGGCGAAACCATAACCTTTATTTTACTACTGAATGGCAATTCAAAGAACTTTCTACTGCAATGATTTAGAATTTCCACTTCAGTGAGATTTTACACTGAGTACGTGCATGTCGTTCGAAACATGTTCGAAACAGCTTCGAAATTATCGTTTTCCCTTTTAGAATTACTCAAAATTTCCTTCAAACTTCCATTAAAGAATTTTCCTTTATAATTATCAAAGGAAATATCGGTATACCGATACCGGAAATTTCTCATACCGAACATTCCTAGACAACTGGCCTCCGTATGTAGCTCAGTTGGTTAGAGCGCTGCACAGGAATCACAGGGCCACTGGTTCCCCTCCTGCCAGGGACCCATTGTTGCATTTTTCACAGCTGTTCCTGGTTAGGTCTAGTAAATGTATATAAATTTCCACTCGATAATTTCCATCTGCAGGACCCTTCAACTACTGTATTATTGAATCGAATGAGATGCCCGCCAACAAAATCTCGATAATTTCTCATGTGAAAAGAGTCTGTCAACGGCAAGGCGCTTATATTTGACTCGAAATTCTCGTGGTTTTTCCGACCGCTCCAGCAGGGTTCGTAGCGGTCTTTGAAATCCTTGAAAGTCTTTAAATTTGAATGCAGGTCTTTAAGGTCTTTGAAAAGTCTTTGAATTGTGTAAAAAAGCAAAGAAAGTCTTTAAAAGTCTTTAAATTCTTCAGTGAGGATTTGATTATACGATTTTCTAGCTAATAAAATAGATTGATTGAAGCAAGATTTTCGCAATTATCGACAAAAAGGCGCATTTTAGGATGTGATTTGACTGGACTAATTACTGTGTAAAAATGGTGCTCGCACCAGGCGTACACTCGCAATTTTTCGACAGCTGATTGCTCTCAAAGGGCTTTGAAAAGTCTTTGAAAATAGGCAGAAAAAATCTTTGAATTGTTTTGGTCTTGGAGACTACGAACCCTGTCCAGTTTCCTCCCACAGGGCGAGTTGGCAGGGTGAGTTAGGATAAACATAGTTAGGAAAGTAATATCACAATTGTTGTAAAGATAAATAGTCTAGACTAAGTACACGGCTAAAAAGGCACAGGTTGTTTCAAGTTGATATCGACAGGCGTGAACAATGTTGTGCGGCCAACTATGAACAAGTTGTCAACCATGTTGTTCCAAGTTGTTACAGTTGAACAATGCTGTAACAACATGTTGACAATACTGTTCATAGTGGGCCGCACAACCTTGTTCACGCCTGTTGATGTCAACCTGGAACAAGTTGTTGATTTTCTCAATTTTTACGCTGGTAAGTAACATAAGTAAGCGTAATACTTGATGTAATCGGTCACTGAAAAATGAAGCTGAATGATAATGTAACGTAATGTACAGTACTATGTATTTCTTACCTGATAATTTAAAACAAGCTCTCCTTATCATTCCAAGAAATTTTCGGATTCTTCAAGTGCTTGTCAAAAGTAGCTTGAAAACAGGTCTTTAAGGTCTTTAAATTGTTCACGCCTGTCGATATCAACTTGAAACAACCTGTGCCTTTTTAGCCGTGTACTTAGTCTAGACTAAGGTACAGGGTAACATCATGATAGGCCATGATATCCTCAGCATCCAACATGTGAACCTTGTATCCAGGGCCGTAGCTAGACGCGATGGGGGGGTATATTCATATACCGTAAAAACAATCGCTTTCAAAAGAAATCCGTCGGGCAGAACACGAATATATGAATATAGCGGTCTACAGTAGCTACGGTCGTGCTTGTATCATCGACAACTGATTGAAAGGGCGCCCCCGCCAGCTCATAAGGCACCTCAAGGTGCGACTTCTCAAGTATACAGTAATTGTCAGAAAAGACAGACATTCTCTTCAAATGAGATAGAAGATGTTAATGTTATACTAGTCTTAAACGCATGTGCAATGAAATACCTATATACTGTAGATAATAGCAACATTGACTATACTTGTTTGAATAGACGTGGTTTACACCTAAATATAAAAAGGGCAGCTCAGTTATTAGTAAGAATTATAGCGTCCTGTGTGTCTCGGCCTTTGGGAACGTTGGAGTCGGAGTCGTTGGAGTTGTATATATTTGCACGTGCAATTGTGCTTCTTGCTGTTCCCACTCGAAATTGTAGGTCACCTTCATAAAACCATGCGCTCCTTATGTACTTTATCCTGAAGACTAAGTACATCTTGAGTGTTCAGTTTGTATATACCAGCTAATCTGGAAATATCGCACCCCGCATCGTCATCGCCAATATTGTGTGGCAATATAAACTCGGTTTTCTCTTTGTCTTTTTCGGCTACTTCAACCTGATAATATCCGGATAACATATATATTGATGTAAAATAAGATGCTCCCGCTAATCGGTCGAGAATTTCTTTTAAATTGGACAGTGGTAACTTGTTACAGTAACATTGTTGCCTCATTTAATGCACGTCTCCTGATAAACTGCTGACTAACAATAGCCTTGCTAATTCTGTGCTATTTGGAAGCGTCAACCTTTCAAATTTTGCTCTCTGCAACAGTTGTCGTGAAAGGGGCATTTGCAGAAGAGGGAAGGGGATTTAAGGGAGGGTGATTCCTTTCTGGATTATGGGACAGATTCTTTCAGATTTTTAACAACCATTTTCAGTGATTTTCAACTCCCCTAGGTTATACCTCAGCCTCACTCTTAATTACAACTGGCTGATGACGTATTGAAATTGGATGGACTTGAGATTGTTTAATAATTAAACATGTTAGACCGCACAATAACTATGAGAAAGTTTGTCTCAACATTGATAACGTTTGCAACCATTTACCTTTTAGACTGTGTGCACTTTCATTTGTTCTACGGGGCTTCGATAGGGATATATGGCGGCCCCTCTCTGGTTACTTAATGCTGGTTTTGGGGCCTGCATGAGCATGCACTTATTATAAGAACAATTATAAGAACGGCCTGTTGCTAAAAAGTTGTTCTTTTATCCAAGCTTTTACTTTAATATCAAAATTTATTTTTTCTGCAGGGGATGCCCATCCGCATGGCCTGGATCCATCGAATGACGAAATTCCCAATGGCTGTCCAAGCAATCACGACCCAGTTCAAATATGTCATGAAATGGCAGCGAGGGGTATCATCTTGTATTGTGTTGGATGTGAGCCATCGCTTAGTCGATATAGAGATTTCTTTATGGCACTTAGTCTTATTACTGGTGGGCAGTACATTCGTCTCCAACGAGCTAAACTTCTTTCACAGGTGAGGAATTTGAAACAATTGCATAATTATGATTTTTTTCTGTGTTGGTGCTGTGGACTCAGGTGAATATGATATTTTTGATTAATTATCCACACCGAGCAAGCTTGAAAAATATGCCTGGCCAAGGTGGGAATCGAACCTACGACCTTTGGAATACTAGCCCAATGCTCTGCCAACTGAGCTATGCGGTCAGATCGGTTCGAGTATGTGATATTTCGGAATTGAGTCTAGTTCCTTCGATATCAATGCAATCTAGTAATATGATTTGTTTCTGTGTTGGTGCTGTGTACTCAGGTGAATATGATGTTTGTGATGTTACTCTGAGTGTATATCCACACCGGGCAAGCTTGAAAACTATGCCTGGCCACGGTGGGCTAGTATTCCAAAGGTCGTAGGTTCGATTCCCACCGTGGCCAGGCATATTTTTCAAGCTTGCCCGGTGTGGATATACACTCAGAGTAACATCACAAATTGCATAATTATTATAATTACTTATTTACTATTATTAAAGCTAAAACCGGCTACAGACGAGTTTTCTATGACAAGTTTCATGTCGCATGGAGCTGCTCGTGTTTAGATCTAAATACAATAAATATATGATAAACTGTAAGTGGAAATAGAAATCTTGTTGTAATCTTTTAAGCACTATAAAGGTAGACTTTGTGTTAATATCACAATGAAATGCATTTAATTTCATATAATATTTTTTGGATGAATTAGTTGTTTTGTGTTTTTGTTGCATGCCATATATGGCATGCAACTTTCATATAGGCTCTAAATTTCATGTCGTCGTGTTCAGTGTGCGTACCGGTGCATGGTCGTAAATTACGTGGTAGATTTGTAAAGTATGAGTGTACGACAAATACCGAGTTTTCCGACAAGCATTTTCATGCCGGGTTTTCGACGAGAAACGCAAAGAAATATTGATTATTCGCCGAAAATTTACATAATTGAGCGCCTTAGAACAATAAATCGAGGTAGGTAAAGCTTTACTGTTTTTAACTTACCTTATATTTCGTTATTTGTTGTGATTTTGCAGCCGTTGTGCTCGCACTGATTATTTACAATTATCAGGTGTTTATATTCATATATCGTGAAAGCCTCAAAGCCCAACGCTATCAAAATACTCGATTTTTATATACTCAAATTGAAACGGAGCCGTTGTGCTCGCACTGATTACAAAGTGTGCAAAGCTTCAAAACTACAGCACATTTTGTAAATAACATGAAATATAAATATCAAACAAAATTTGAATTATAAATAGTAATTGTCGCGAGTTTGGCATATTTAGTAATAATTTGGTTGATATTTGGTAGAAAAAGAATTGTTGACATGTATTTGGTAGGTGAAAAACGAGAACATAGTATCAGCAATAAAGTAAACTATAAACTGAACAAACGTGAGTTATTTGCCGGGTTAAGCGAATCCCGACAAAAGTGACGACCCCGAACAGGATTTTATAAACAAGAACTATTTGGAAAACGTATTTTTAGAGTGAAATATATCGATATTGAATGTTTATTTTATGTGACAGGGAAAATATAAATTCAAGATGGCGGACGTAAAACAAATGTTAAACAAGATCGAAGCGAAGCTACGTATGCTTGAATTTACGCGAAGTGATACACCGAGAATCCAAGAGAAAAACGAACTGAAGAGTTTAGAGCGACAAGAGAAAGTATTTAGCGAGTTAATCGACAGTATTCACGAGCAAAAAGTCTTAATACAAACAGCGAAAATCGAGAAGGGTGAAAACCCAGAAGATGTTACACAATGGACACTTGAGATCGAAGAAAAGATTGCGAAGTATGAACAAGTTATGGCTGAGTTACATAGTGATGTGGAAAAGTTAGAGGCGAAAGCTAGGGAAGAAGATGAACTGAGAGAAGATAATAAACGAAGACAGCGTTTCGAAGAAGAATTAAAACTCGAGGAAGCGAAAATGCAAATGAAACATGATTATGAAAAGAAACTTATGGAAGAAAGTAAATCAAGCAAAGAAAATCTTAGCAAAGTCAAGTTACCCAAACTAGTTATAACCAAGTTTCAAGGGACACCATTAGATTGGCAACGATTCTGGAGCCAATTTGAAACGGAAATCGACAAAGCTGAAATAACACAAGTGGCAAAATTTTCTTACCTGAAAGAGCTTCTAGTCTCTAAAGTGAGAATGAGTATAGACTGTCTTCCTTTTACATCCGAAGGCTATGAACGAGCTAAAAATATACTCAAGACGAAATATGGAAAACCGCGTGAAGTGTCGAATGCTCATGTACAGCAGATTATATCCTTGCAAACAGTGCGGGGTTCCCAGCCTGGTAAAGTACATGAATTTTATGAGACCTTGGTGACAAATGTCCATGCATTGGAAACACTTGGAAAGATCAAAGAAATTAATGGCTATGTTCGTGTAACCCCCGATAAGTTACCTGATATCAGAGCTGACCTGGTACGGTTAGACGACGATTGGCAGGACTGGGGTTTTAGTCAAATGGTTGAAGCCCTGAGAAAGTGGTGCGAGCGCAACCCGGTCGGTCCAGAAGATCAAAAATACAAGTCGAAGCTGCCCAAAGATAAATCATTTCAAGCAAACCAGGGAGAATGGAAACCGAGACCTTGTGTTTATTGTGAGTCTACACAGCACAAATCAGTTGACTGTAAAACTGTAACTAGTGTCACTGAGAGGAGAAAGGTATTGAGCTCGAAGAAGTTGTGTTTCAACTGCGCTGGGACAAGACATCGGGCATCAGAGTGTCGGAGCAAAACCACTTGTCAGAAATGTAACGAAAGGCATCATACATCTATATGCAATAAAGGGACGGAGCAAATGATGGTAGCGTCAGTCAAAGGTGAAGTGATTTACCCAGTAGTTGTAGTACTTGTTGACGGAATTAAGGTCAGAGCATTGCTTGACACAGGTTCAGGAAGCTCGTATGCTTCCGCAGCTCTTATTGATCGGCTTTCAAAACGACCAACTCGAACTGAGCATAAACGGATTGATATGATGATGTGCTCAACAACACAAAAGATCGAAGTGTATAATGTGAATGTTTCTAGCGTCACTGGGAAATTTGCCATGGAAACAGAAGTCAACAAAGTGGATAAGGGAGTTCTCTTGTCAGTTCCAAATCCAAGGTATGCAGAAAAAATCAACCAGTATCCTCACCTTGAGGGAGTGGTAATGGATGATAAAGATAGCAAACCTGTTTTACCAATCCATTTGATCCTGGGTGCCAGTGAGTACTCTCGCATAAAAACAGTTACGAAGCCAAAGATTGGAAATCCAGGTGAGCCGGTTGCAGAGTTAACAGCATTTGGTTGGTCGATGATGTCCCCAGGAAAGGAAGTGAATCTTAGCAATACCTACCTTACCAGAACATCATTTGGAGACTACGAACAGTTGTGTAATTTGGATGTTCTGGGTTTAGAAGATCGAGCGCAAGGTGACCAGCAGTCGGTGTATGATGAGTTCAAGGAACAGCTTAGCCGAAGTGATGAAGGGTGGTATGAGACCGGATTGATTTGGAAACAGGGTCATGGTCCTCTTCCGAGTAATGAACATGGCAGTTTAAAACGATTAGATAATTTAGTCAAGAAACTACGAAGAGATCCCAACCTCATGACTGAATACGATGAGATCATTCAAAATCAAGTTGCTGAGGGTGTAGTTGAACGAGTAACCAGTGAACCAGTCGGGAAAGAATTTCATCTACCGCATAAGCCTGTCGTAAGGGAGTCAGCAGAATCCACCAAAACTCGTATCGTGTTTGACGCATCAGCTAAAGCCAATGACAAATGCCAATCATTGAACGACTGTTTAGAGACAGGGCCGCCCTTGCAAAATATCCTTTGGGATGTGTTGGTGAGAAATCGGTTGAAACCTGTTGCGTTGGCTGGTGATCTCAAAAAGGCATTTCTTCAGATCAGAATCCGACCAGAACATCGAGATGTGTTAAGGTTCCACTGGGTCAAGGAGGAAACATCAGAGATAGAGGTTCTCAGATTCACCAGAGCACTGTTTGGGTTAGTGCAGTCACCATTTCTGCTCGGAGCAACGCTGAAACGGCATCTAGAAAGTCTGAAGGAACGATATCCAAATGAAGTCGCAGAAATCGAGAAATGTTTATATGTTGATGATGTCATCACGGGGGGAGACACTAAAGAGGAAGTGCTTGATCTGAAGGAGACCACTGTAGCAATATTCGAAGAAGCCAAGTTTGAGTTGCACAAATGGCACTCCAACGAATCGGTGTTAGAAGCGAAAAGTGAGCCTGATGATGGGAAGCAAAGTTACGCGAAGGATCAGCTCGGAGTCAAAGCGGGAGAAACCAAGTTGCTGGGGCTGCCATGGAATAAAAACAATGACACTATATCTGTTACTTTTCCACAACCAATTGCTGAAACGACCAAGAGAGAAATGTTACGATTCTTAGCCTCGATATATGATCCACTTGGTTTAGTGTCGCCCACAACACTTTCAGGAAAGCTGATGTATCGGCAAGTTTGTGACCAACATCTACCCTGGGATGCGAAAGTGTCGGAAAGCGTCGCAGATCAGTGGTGCAAATTCGAGAATAGGTACCTGGTAGAGTTGAGATACCAAGAAGTATCACATCAATTCAAGAACCGACTAAAGCGATAGATCTACATGTGTTCGGAGACACAAGTGGAGTTGGGACGTCGGCGGCAGTTTATGCAGTTGTCCACCAAGAGTCAGGAGTTAACCAGGGCCTACTGACCGCGAAGTCTCGTTTAGCGAAGAAAGGCTTGTCTATTCCAAGGCTAGAGCTTGTTTCAGCGCACATGGCGGCAAACCTGGCAGAGAATACAAAGAATGCCCTTGATGGTCAACTGGTGAGATCTGTTACGGGATGGCTAGATAGCACCGTAGCCCTATATTGGATCAAAGGGGGTGGAACTTATAAACAGTTCGTAGCTAACAGAGTGCGTAAGATAAACGAGAAGGACTTCATCGAGTGGAGACATGTAACCACTGACCAGAATCCAGCTGACGTTGGAAGCAGAGGGTGTCTTGGAAGCAATCTCCCCAAGGTTTGGTTAAACGGACCAGTGTGGTTACCATACCCCAACCAGTGGCCGGAGTCAATTGTTCCTATGGCAAGCAAGGAAACTGAAGAAGAAGCGAAACTGAGCCGAGAATTATTCGCAGCTGCCGTGGAGATAAATGATGAGTTTGAAGAATTATTGTCGAAACATTGCTTTTGGTCTGCAGTCCGTATCATGGCTTGGATTAGAAGATTCCTAACGAACTGTAAGTTGAAGAAACTAGCGAGAGTTACCGGTCCTTTGACAACTAAAGATATAAATCAACAAGTTGAGTGGTGGATCAAGAGAGTCCAAGACAGCTCCAGCGGTGCAGACGAGTTTCAAGAAGACAAATTAAGACTGAACTTACAGCTGAACTCAGCTGGGTTATACGAGTGCCGTGGTCGCATTCAAGGAGAATTTCCTCTATACTTACCACCTGCGGCACGTTTATCTAAGAAGATCGTTGAAGACGCCCACATCGTGACTCTGCACGGGGGAGTTGGCCTCACAATGACTTGGGTTAGACGTGACTATTGGATCCCACGATTGAGGCAGTTAACAAAGAAAGTTATCAACAATTGCTTCGGGTGCAAGAAATTCCGTGCCATTGCGTTCCACAGTCCACCACCTGCAAATCTTCCAACAGACCGGACCATTGGTTCGACTCCTTTCCAAGTATCGGTGTCGACTATGCGGGACCAATGGAATACAAGATTAGTTCGACGAAAAACGGCAAAGCTCATATCCTGTTGTTCGCATGTAGTCTTACCCGAGCCATCCATCTCGAGCTCTTAAAAGATCAAACGACTGAGGGATTCATCAGAAGTTTAAAGCGGTTTGTTGCTAGACGCGGTAGACCTAGTAAGATCTATTCCGACAACGCCAAAAGTTTTGTAGCTGCAGCGAAGTGGCTCAGAGCGATCATGAAAGATGAGAAGCTTCAAAATTATCTCGCCCACCAGAACATAAAATGGCAATTTAATTTAAGCAGAGCTCCCTGGTGGGGAGGACAATTCGAGAGACTAGTGGGGCTAGTGAAACAAGCATTGTATAAGTCGAGCGGACGTGCAAAATTAACATGGAACGAATTCGAAGAAGTGATACTCGATGTCGAAATCGCACTGAATAATCGCCCATTGTCATACGTCGAGGATGACATTCAGTTACCCGTTTTAACTCCAAATTCAATGATGTTCGAACAGTCCAATCTATTGCCAGAGGAAGATATCGAATCAATCGAAGACGGTAATCTGAGAAAAAGAGCAAGATATCTACGGCGTTGCAAGGATGCATTGTGGTCCCGATGGTCTGGAGAGTACGTGAAAGGCTTGAGAGAGAGACATAACCTTAACCATAAGACCAAACAACTCTCTATCAAACCTGGAGACGTGGTATTAATAACATCGGATGAACGGAATCGAGGAAAATGGAACATCGGGGTGGTAGTGAAGCTGATTAAAGGAAGAGACGGTGTTGTACGCGCGGTGAGGTTAAGAGCTGGGAAGTCATTTATTGAGAGAGCGGTGCAGCACCTATGTCCAATGGAGTTATCATGTGATATACCACATAAGACGGAGGAAGTTACTGAACTTAATCCCAGAGCAAGAGAATTTAATCCTAGAAAGGCAGCCGTAGTCGCTAGGAATATGATAAAAGAGATTGCAAATCAAGAGGAACTAACCATTTGAACGATACAGTAAATTTATTCATAAACTTCTAGTTAATAAGGTTTACATTACGGACAGGATCATATTTAATACATACAGTATAAAATAGGGGGAGAGTGTCGCGAGTTTGGCATATTTAGTAATAATTTGGTTGATATTTGGTAGAAAAAGAATTGTTGACATGTATTTGGTAGGTGAAAAACGAGAACATAGTATCAGCAATAAAGTAAACTATAAACTGAACAAACGTGAGTTATTTGCCGGGTTAAGCGAATCCCGACAGTAATACTCTTGAAATTTAATACAACGAAATAGCAACCATTGTAAAGTACGCATAAGATTCAACATGTCATTCAACATGACATTCGATGTAGTGTAAATTAACTCAATTCAATCACTCAAATGTCAAAATGATAAATAATAATAATTTTCAATCTATTATAGTAATTCACCGTTTCCACGGGTTTTTTTATACCTTTAAAAAGTTACAATAAAGCTAAATCTAAAGGAAATAACGTTATTTAGTTATAAATTTGTGAAGGAAATCTAACAGTCAATCGCTTTCGATAAAACCTTGACCCACCTTGACCTTGTTAATGTTATTACCGTCGCTTGCAACTAAATATAACGGTCGCTTATAAAAACATTGCCTATTCGCGTGTTTCTGCTGGGGTTCTACACAGTGGCGAAGCCAGCGGTCATGCAGGTCATGCAGTGCATGACTAAAAATTTCCCCAAAAATGTTTAAAAATCAGTTCAGTGTAATTGTTTACAATAGAATTATACTTTATCTTTGCACTTCTACGCCTAAGTATTTTATTTATTATTTTGTTTACCCAAATCAATGGTCTTTAGGCGATATTCTTGCTAAATATTCTCGTATGTTATTGATTTTGGCTTTGTTACCTTGGCAACTGAGCGGTCCTGCATATTTTCACATGCATGACCGGGTTGCGTAAGCGCGTGGAAAAAGATTACGTGTGATTGCTGCGTGGTTCGCTCGCTGTGTGTTTTGGTCATGCACTTTCAGAATTTCATGACTAGCTGTATTATTTTATATTAGGTTTGTTGGTTTCTGATTGGCTTACGACGTTCGCGCACGCGCAATGCGGCTGTTTTTGAAGCCTTGGTCATGCAATTTTCGATTTGCATGACTAAACGGGCAACACAACCTGATCACAGCCTCTTAGCTCGAAGCTTTCAGCCTGAATGAACACGTCTTCAGGTCATTCAAGTATATCGACTTCTTCTTTACTCGAAGCTAACGATATTGTTTGGGAATTGGTGACAAAACCATTTTCTGCTGAGCAGAATATTATTGTTTATAAGCAGAGACAAACGCCAGATCTTTCGACATGCCCGATCGGGAAGGTTTTCAAATGTCGTGGTATTCAAAGAAAGAATGGCTTAGCCAGTCAGGCTTAGGCTA